ACAAGATCAGTTTTTTATAGGTTACTCGCTAGAATATTTGACCTTTGCTTTGTAGATAAATAAGTTTACCGTCCCATGTATTCAAGTGGTATATTAACCCAACCATCATCAGTTTTCGAGTATGTAATACTACTTTCAATATCTTGTACTGTAAAAACAAACGGATGACAATATTGTTTATTTACATGAAAAGTGTAGACCAATCGTATTTGCACTTGATCAACAGGCCACACTGAATGATTAGCCTGAAAAAGAAGAAATATTAATTAATGTAAGTTTTAGATAAAAGACTGACAAAGAAACGTGTTTTTTTTCGTTTTTAACAACCAAAAAACGCGTTCAAGGTTTGAAAACCAACGCTTTTTTTGTCGTTTAAACTCTTTCTTTTTATCTATTCGTTTGAAAACGCGTTTTTTTTGGAATTTCACAACGCTTTAGAGAACGCGTTTTTCGATGGATGTGGATGACAATAAAAACGTTAATTAACGCGTTTTGAAATGATTCGAAAATAAAAACAGAGGAAAGATACAGAGGTTTGAATCCACCATTCTTCTACTTTTTCCATTCGATCATATCCTCATGACATTACATTAGCTGACAACAAACTAATGGAGAACAGTGAAATGAGTACTTAGCAGTTCGAAATAACGAAAACTTTCAATTTCAAGAGAAAAACGCCTTTTTATATAAAATAACTGCGTTTCAAGGATTATTTTAACGTCGTTAGAAACCGGATTCAACAAAAACGCCAAAAAACGATTAATTCAACGATCGGTAGCAAATGCGTTGTCGAAGAACGCGTTATTCTAAAGTTTTGAACGACAAAATACGCGTTTAAATGGCTCTTTTAACAGCCGTTCGCTAACGCGTTCGACGAACACGCGTTTTCCATGCCGTTTCTAACGATTTTTTTTCGCCTAGGAAATGAATGAACTTACTTTTATTTCAAAAACACTGCCATCATCTGGAACAATTGCATATTGAGCCACAGCATTACCATCTTGTTGGGAAACAGTATGACCATGGTATATGCACAGCAATGAATTAGTTGAAATTTCAACGGCATTATTATTAAAAGCCTGAAAGAAAATATAAGCTAGCAAATAATCTTTAAGCTTTTCAGATATTATTTTTACTTACTTGCATTTTTCGCGTTTCGGAGTTTATGAATGGAAATCGTTAAATATTTGACTTAGATAATTTCGGTCGGAATCTCACTTCGTATCAACTTAAAATGATCCTTTAACTGATTAAATTTGTTTTACAGGTTTTCTCTTTGCAATTTAAATTAAAGATATTTAAAAAATTTATTATTATTATTATTTATTATTATTTAAAATTAAATTAAAAATATTTAAATTATAAAAAACTAAGTCATTACCTTTTATACAAGGGACTCGAACATGTTTTTACCTTGCATTTGAAGAATATGATTCAATCATATTCTTCGAATGCTTTCTACGCATGTAGGAAAGAATTCAGTCATAATAATTGAATTCTTTCTACATGCGTGGGAACAACGAGTCATTACTAAAAACCACTGCGGTTTGTTTTGCGTCATCTGTCTGTTGTATTACATATTATTCTATCTTTCTCATGCAATCATCATACAGAATCAGAAAAGGTCACGACGTGGTAACAATGACTATCTTGATAACAGAAGAGAAAAAAAAAATGAAAACTTTTTTCGTGACAAAGATATGAATTTTGTTTTTCTCTCCATGCGTCCAGTGGAGATAAGTATGACTGTTACCTAAATACAAAGGGATTATATGTGTTAAACGGAATTATAAAAATATCAGAGAATCAGATATTTTTTTTCTACTAAACCTGAATATTGTCTAATGATCAACCGTCATGACCAAGATAAAAAGTATTACAAAATACCCTTTTCTATTGGATAGTTATAAATTCTTCGATGTATTCATGCGCATTGGTCAACAAATTGCAGGAGAAAGAAAACACAGGTGATGTGCACAAACTGCGTACAGTTAGGGAGCATTCAAAATGTGTGCTAGTCGCTCGGCCGTTCTGCCGCATTCAAATTCTAATTTGTTTTATTTTGTTTAATTTCGGTACGTTTGACAACCACGCTGAATCTGATGACAATCTTTATTTTTAAGAGAGACCTCAAGAGCAATTGAAAATCGAGTTTTATGAAAATTAGAGTTACCACGTTGTTTTCACCTAATACTAAAAAATTTACTCCTCACTCAGAAAATATCAGGACGAGTTGGAAATTGAAAATTTCGCAGCTGAAAATTTTGCAAACTATATAGCCTGACAGAGCAAAGAATTCTGAGCAAAACGATATATCTCCCGCTGTCTATAACGCCTTTCCACCGGTATATTTTGGCAATTTTCACGCCCTTTGTAGCCATTCGTAAATAGACAGCAGTTTGACCAAAGAACGTTTACTACCGCCGGAAGATATATCACTTTGTTCAGAATTCTTTGCTCTATCAGGCTACATGATTTGAAAAATTTTCTGACCAAGAACCAAAGGCGTTCAGTCAAAGGATTACATCCTTAGCCACACATATGATCAGCAATACAATGCTTCACCGGACAAGACTGACTCGATGAGAGCGACAGTTAATTTAATTGTTCTCAGTAGTTCCTTTACCAATTGTAAAAAATAACAAAAGAGTGGATACTTCTCTTGTAGCAGTATTTTTATTAACCAACAATGTCAGTTACTAAAGAAGCTTGATCACATTTCCCTTCTAACTGTCTCTCATGATATGCTTTCAGCCATCACACGAAAAAGGCAGGAGCGTTAAATTGTTTTTTATTAGTTGAGAGAGAGTGCGCTTCCATTCTGCCTGCTTCGTTTGCTCGCCTACTATTATTACTATATTCACTGCTTAGTGAAAACGAAAGCAAAAGAGCGAAGAGAGCACGATACCGGCTGTCTAAGTCTTTCAGACTAAATAGACTACAGTCAGATAGTCGAATGTAACCCAGCAATGATGGCCACCAGTTACCTTCAAAGGAACCATTGGAACTTTGGCCTAAAATACTGGCTCGAAGAAACATACCGCATATAGAACACTTTATTTTGAAATAAAAAAAGTAAAACTTACCCGTCGGGTACTTGTACTTTCATTGGCACATTGAAGCCGTCAACACAGCGCAAATCGTAATAGATATTATTATCTTCCGTTTTAACAGAAAGTTTGAACAAAGTAATATCTTGACAGTTCTCGCCACTCCCTTTTCCACCTTGTGTGTGTTTGAAATTACCGGCCCAGCCATTTGGGCAATTGTGAGTGCACAGTGGGCAATTTTGTGTAGGCAGATGGACATTTGGTATAAAATCAATACAGAAGACCACAAACGCAGTTTTCAAGGGTTTTCCTGTACACTTTTTCCAATGAAACAGTTTGTGAAGCTCAGAAGTGGTTTTATCCGGCTTTTCCAGAAAGCTAGGACCTTTGGAAAGTCTAATACATCAGAACATGTTAAAAAGTTCGGATAATTCATTTTGTAACACGATTTTGGATGTGTCGATTCCAATTAATGATCGAAA